GATATGAGTTGTCCCCCTTTCATTAACGCATCTTAATCGTGTTTTCAAATTGATTTCGTGCAAAAACAATTGTTTTTCCAATTTTTGGTGCTGTCAGAACCACCACAAGGTAATTTTACGTAGTCCTGTGAAGTTTTGTTGAAATCGGTTGAAAAATGTAGGAAATCTGATCCAATATATAAACGTACACACACACACACACACACACACACACACAATCTGTGTTTTATAATAAGATGTTGGATGGATGAAGGTTAACTGTAGTTGGGATCATCAAGTCAAAGTGAATTCTACAATCCTTTCCTTAGTAAGACTACATATGGTTTTTGAACTAGTTGTTCCTCTCCTAAACCAAGGCTACAGAACCCAGACTGCTCTACTATTTAACCCATAGTTGGAAGTTTTGAATTCATAGTTGTCCTTCTCCTAGACTATAAGGCCTGGTCTGTCCTGATATTTACCCATAGCTGGTGGGGGTGGAGAAAAGATGGATTCATACCAATGAGTGCATGTAACATACTCATTTGGAATTCAAACTCTGCTCTTCAAATCCTTAATCCAAGTCAGTATTCATTAATCCACCATGCTTCCTTAAAGTTGAATTAAATAGTTAACAAATCAAAATTTATCTTTTTAATTGGCAAAGAATTCGATAATGGCTGTGAGCTGATTGGCAGAAAACTCGAAATTTAAAAAAAAAAAATAGATAAATATAAATTCTTTTTTAAATTTGATTTCACTTTCAACCAGAAGTTATCCTTACAAATACATCTACTTTAATCCAGTTTCATTGGGTGCACATAACTCACTCTTGTACACCTCCTTAAGGCTGAAAACACTTCCCGATGTACACTTTGCATACACTGATTAACTATAAAATGCAAAGGATAAAAAAAAATGTGCCTATGTCTCAGTTATTAGACTTCTTGAGGGAAATGGATTTTCTTAAACTCCCTTAGATACAACACACGCACACACATACACGCAAGCAAAAAAAACTCCAAAATATTTGTTTACCAATACAAAGTATTCACCTAAAAAAAAAAATCATCTGTGTACAAAGCAGTCACAGAATAAAATAAAAAAGATTAAAAAAATCACTTAATATGAAAAACTATACCTAATTCGCCATGAAATGACACATGAGGTTAATATGCCTGTAAACAATAACTCACCTTACCTTAATCCAGTTTTATGAAGTAACGACAGAAAGAAATGCAAAAATTGACACAATTTTTTTTTCATTGGCCCATGGCGCACCTTTCCACAAAATATCATTGAAATGCATGGAAAACCTTTTGAGATATTGTATTGACAAACAGACAAATGACCTGTATGAATATATAACGTTTGTCTAACTGGCAGACAAAAGTAAAAACCAAAATTTTATCTTATGTTCAGTTCTTCCTGAATCATCTGAACATAAGTAAAAATGTTTGGATAATTTAAATTATGAAAAAAGAAAAAGAAATTTCTTTTCCTTTGTTTTTTCTCTCATTCCTTTGTTTTTTCTCTCATTCCTTTGTTTTTTCTCTCATTCCTTTGTTTTTTCTCTCATTCCTTTGTTTTTTCTCTCATTCCTTTGTTTTTTCTCTCATTCCTTTGTTTTTTTCTCTCATTCCTTTGTTTTTTCTCTCATTCCTTTGTTTTTCTCTCTCTGTCGTTCCTTCTCCTTCTCCTTCTCCTTCTCTCTCCTTCTCCTTCTCTCTCCTTCTCCTTCTCTCTCCTTCTCCTTCTCTCTCCTTCTCCTTCTCTCTCCTTCTCTCTTTCTTTTTTGTTTTTCTTTCTTCCATTTGTTTTTTTACTTTTCTTTAAGCTACATGTGCTATTCCTTTTAGTTGTTGCTGCTTTTGATTTATGAGATCTGACGTGGGGTAGTCTTCTTGAGGAGCATAGAATCACCTCTTAAATGCTGTTGTTCCCAAGTCCACCCTGACCTGGGATGGTATCACCTGTTAGGGTCCAAGCTATAGGCAAATAATGACCCCCCCCCCAAACAAAAGCAAAACACTATGAAAATGTGAAAATAGATTTTTATGAAGATGCCAGAAATATATATTACCAACAATACATTTTATTTGTACTTGAAGCCATAAAATTGTATTCAAGATATTTAAATTTTGGTATTAAATAATAGCGATGTGACAATATGAACAAAGTATATTTATTAAAACATTTAATAGGGAAAGGAATACAAAATCTTATGAAATGAAGTTAGATATCCTTTTTATTTAAAAAATTGGGTAAGTGTTTAAACATTAAAGAAAACAATTTCTTTAAGTAAATCACTGAAATAAATACATAGCTACAGTTGACATGTTATCATCAGAAATCTTTAAAAACTTCCAAACTACAATTTTCTGCTTGGCATTGGATGCATTCGCCATAATTAGGGTCTGAAAATAATAAGAATTGGTTAAAATTTAAATTTAAAAAATGTTTCTAGTTTTTCAATGTGTTTAATTTGTAAAGATTCAACTAATAATGGTTTGCTATTAATTGTAAAATAAAAAAAGGTTAATTTTTTTTTTTTTTTTTTTTTTGTCCAACTTAAGTTTTAACAAGCAAAGGCATCCTCTAAATATTATGCAATCTCCTTAAAATTTTATATGTGGCATTTTTCAATAAATGGAATAAATTTAGGCATAACCATTCGATTTCAGCATACACTTCAAAAATAAGAGACATCCTAATATATATGTAATATTGCAACAATAATTTTCTAAACAGAAAGGCATCATCCGATGTATTGTGGTTTAATGCATGCATATATTCTGATAAAGTACAAGGAGTACCTAATCCTGCAGGACAGTGAATAAAAAAATAAATGCAAATTTTAAATTTGCTTACAGATGTTTAATAAGAATTAGATACAAATTATCATAGCAACTTAATAAATAATAAAGGGTTTTCAATCTTATTAATAAATGTAAAAATATAATCACTAATAAGTTTTACTGTCTAAAATAAATTACTCACAACTAAAAAATTTAATAATTTGTAAAAAGAATCAAGAAGTAATTTATTTTTGTTAAAAGAAAAAAAAGTAAAAGTGCAACAATACTGTAAAAACATATCCTTTGATTTTTTAGCAATTTTAGCAAAATTTGCAATAAATTTTAAAAAATATTAGGAAGTTGAAAGCTAAATGGTGCTGTTATCCAACTTGATCATTTTATTAGTGTTACAAAACATTAAAATAAAAATGATTAAAATTTTCAGCAACTGTAAATGTATATTTCTTGCATGGGATCAATTTGTTTTTCTTGGTTATTTATTAGATTATTAGAAGATGAAATTTTACTTTAGAATATTAAAACAAATCATGTTAAAATTGGGGAAAAAGAAAACTATAGTTTAATCACGCCAAATGGGCTAAAACTACTCATTTTTACTCTTTTTTTTTATTTTTTTTATTTTTTAATACACTTCCACTTATAAAACTTGGATCTCATTTTGGCTCCAAGGATGAATAAATGAGAAAAAAAAAGGTTCAAAATATTTTAAATGCCATAATAATTTAACACAGGAAAGTTTAATTATGCCAAAGAAAAATGATTGTAAAATAAAATTAAATACAATTTTTGATGGAAATTAAATTTTAAGTTTTTTAATACAAACTTTTGTGCAAAATTTTTTTTTTTTTTTTTTTTCAGGAAACTTCAAATAAAAGTTTGTTTATTTTTAGTTTGCTTAGTAAAGAGGAGAATCTGTTTCAAAAGCTATAAAATTTTAAGAAATACATAAATTTTATAGAAACAAGTTTTATAAAAAAAGAATGTTTACGTTTTTGTGTCTTGGTTATTGAACAGAAGGTTTATTTTTGTTTACGTGGTATGCTACATAAACAAAAATAAATCTTTTCAATAACAGAAATTAAAAACTGAAACTGGATTAAAACTATTATAAAAACAAATCCTTCTCACCACGAGGACAATTTGGGACACAAGGTCATTGTTTTTATGTGAAGAATCAAATGTGACATCGGCTGTAATTCCATACATTCATTTTTTTTTTATTTTTTTTTATGAATTAAAAAAAAAAAAAAAAAAAAGAGCCCGACAGAACAACCATGTGAATTCATTTTGTTTTATATTACATAATTTTGATTGTAATTATTAAATTAATAATTTATAATATTAAATGGGTGAATTAACAATGTTTAAAAAGAAAATTAAAAATAGAAATTTTATTTTGAACTGAAACTGACTTTAAACTAGCGAATTTTATAGAAAGTTTAATAACTGAGTAGAGACTTGCACTTTTTTTTTTTTTTTTTTTTACACAAGTAAAATAAATTTACATCATACTTAGGGGTTATTTTGATCTATAGATTTTAGTTTTACTGATAGTTTAAAATCAATAAATATTTGTCTTTTTATCATTAGTACCAGAAATGGAAAATGTTTTAAACAAAAAAAAATTGGGAATTAAAAATTCTCTGATGCCAATACAGATACCCCAAAAAGTTCCAATATTTCCAATTCTCAATTTCGATTATCCCATCACTATTAAATAACACATAGATGTTAATATGCTGCTCAACCAACCAACCATTGATTTGAGAAAAAGGTTATATATATATATATATATATATATATATATAATATTACAATCAAGCTTAGAAGACCTACCCTACTGTGCAGGTAAAAGGAAAGCTTCAATCTTTACCTCCTTCTTTTGGGAGAACACTAGTCATTTTTTTCTTTGTTTATTCATTTCTGGTGCCTCTTCAGGTTTATGATCAGTTTTATTTGTTTTTAATTTTTTAAATGCAATTGGTCTCCAAATTTGATTGAAAATGACTTTATATTTTAATCATGCACCAGTTTGTTCTCTATTAGTCCCTAAAAGTTCTTTGCATTGTTCCTGTTAGAAAAAAATAATTGTTTTCGTCAAAAATTGATCTTGGCCTAAATGTTCCTTAGATATTTGCTTTTTGTAGTATCAAGACATCGATGTAGTATCAATGTATATCAAGACGTTGATGTAGTGTCGATATGCATCAATGCATCCCGTCATGCACTGATACCCATTGAAACAGGATTGCAATTGTGCAATTTTAACATGATTTGGTGTAATATCCTAAAAATATATATATATATATAGCTGTATCCTAGTGGATGTGATATTGTAGATTTAGAATTTTTACTTTAACTTAAACTAACATCTTAATCTCAAAGTTTAAGATAACAATGTTAGTACTACACATTTCTACACAAGATTTCAATGTGTTCTTTCATTAAAGTCAATCTCTCTTTTCACTCTGGGATTTCCACTAACTCTCTTAACCTATCTCCTTACCATGCTTACATCAAGTGCTATATTTCAATAAACACTCACTAGTCTGAAATATTTACATATTGTATCTAATGCTCATTGGTACCCATCCTGCTCAGTTAGTCTACCAATAGGCCTTGTGTTTCTATTCGTGCTCAACTATTATGCAAGGTTTTAATAATGTTGTATTGGAATGGATTTGCAATTATTATGACTAACAAATTCAAACTATATACCTGCATTAAATTTTGCAAGAAACTGCTACTGGGACTTTTGAAATTCTTTGCCAGCCTTTTGACAAATGTTCTTTCATTTGAAAACAAAGTTTTTGAGTGGCATGTGCATTTTAAAGCTGTTTAAATATCAATATAAGATTTCGAACATTCAAGGCAACCAGTCTATAATATCTCTGTTGCTAATTGTGCTACCAAGATAAATTTGCTACTATTTTTACCTTGTGTCAAGTTATCATGGCTAACAAATTCAAACCATATACCTGCATCAAATTTTGCATGAGGCTGCTATTGGGATCTTTGAAATTCTTTGTCAGGCTTTTGACAAACTGTCGTCAGGCTGAATAAAGGGTTTTTGAGTGGCATGTGCATTTCAAAACTATACTTCTCTCTCTCTCTCTCTCAAAAACAAAATTGTGGTCTTTTTTTTTTTTTTTTTTTTTTTTTTTTTTTTGAGAACTTCAATAGCATCATTGTATGTTTTACTGTTTTGGTTATCAGATCCTATTTGTAGAACCATCTTTTATTCAGTGACAAGTTATTTCAAAAGAATTATCTCAGGATTTTTAAAAATGCTGCAAAATCAACATTAAGGTGCCCACTTGATAGTTTTTCTAGTCACCATTCTGATATTTTGACAAATAATTGGCTGATGGCTCCAGCATACCCAATTGCTCATGAATCATAAACCCAACACATTCCCTGCATATCTCTACAGTCTTAGTAGTTTTTTAGTTTTTTTGTTTTTTTTTTCCCTGAGATTTGCCAGAATTCGGTCATGAAGAGGATCAACAATTTCAGGAGTTGACACTGTTGATAGCCTACTGCACTGTATCTTTTATCTCAAAATCTCCAGCCTGGAAGTTAGCACAGCACTTGTTTATAGTTGAATATGATAGGATCGTCTCACCCAATATTTGCATCATCCACTCCTTCTGCTAGAGCAGGAACTTCACGATGGCCCAGAGTTCAACACTTTTCCACTCTTTCTGTTGGCATGATTTAATCAATGATCAGAAACAAATATAAAAATAAGCACAAGAATCCTACAATTTGATACTTTCTAATATAAAAGAATGTGCTTTCTTTACTCAAATCCTTGGAAGTTGGTCTGACTGAGAACTTTTCAGTTGGGCAAAAAAAGAAAGAGTAGGGAAATATGACGTTGTCACACATGAAATGATGCATTTTATGTTTGGTTGTTGATTTGGTCATCTAATGGAGTATCCTTAGTATGTAAAAATTTTGATTTATTTCCAACTCTCTTTCTCTTCAAATAATTTTTCTTTCAATATATTGTTGATAAGCCCAATGAAAATGATTACAATGAAACAATGTTGAGTAATCTTACTGTACAAGTACAAACCGGGAAAAAAGAACCATTTTTGCATCAAATCATTACATGCGATGAGAAATAGATACTCTTTGACAACAGTGCTTAGAGGCAAGTGAATTCCCAAAACAATAGCTAAAACCTCCACTGCACCCTAAAAAGTTAATGGTTACTGTATAAGTGGTCTTTCAGAGGGGTTATTCATTCTTGTCTCAAGGAAATACAATAACAGTAACTGCATATTGTTGAGAAATTGAGTGTATGCACGAAAAATTGAAAAAGAAATATTCTAGACTTGTGAATAGGGATGGCCCAATTTTGCTTCACAACAACACACGGCCACACACTTTTCAATCAACTGTCCAAAATCAGCATAGCCTGAATTATGAAATTTTGCTTCATCCTCCATATTCACCTGATTTCTCTCCAACTTTGCCTCAGTGGAACTGGGGAATTTAGTTCATCTGAACACTTTCTGTAGAAGTAGCAGTAGAGCAGCAAAAGGCTTGCCACATCCTGCCTGTGGGAGAGAGGTTGAAGAGTGGAGAATAATTCATCATCCACAAGGGCTTGGAGACACTTTTAAATTCTATCAAAGCTGGAGAATGAGCTCTGGGCAGCTCCTGCCCAAATATGACAATAGTACTCCATTTTTGACCTGATCCAGCTCTTGTAAAGGTAGGGGATAGCAGGAGGGGTCAGGTACTTATTGGGTGTGTAGGTGACATAATAGTCAGTGGATTGGAATGAAAAATTGGTGAGCCATGTTTAAATTCCAAATTGGTTAATGCATTTACTTTTGCAAATATACCTTTGGGGAAAAGTGTGAATCCATTTCTTCTCCTCACCCCAAGCTATAGGGTAGACTGGGCTCTCGAGCCATCATTGGCAACCAGTCTAGATGAACAGTTCTGAATTCAAAACTCAGGCAACTTAAGCTGTACGAAGATTCAAGTTTTATTGTTTATAAATTGAGTTTTATTTGTGAAATTAATTTTAGAAATTTATTTTTTTATTTCTAAAATTTTTTGACCCCCCTCTCATCTTTTTTTTTCTTTAACTTGGATCTGTTTATTTTTTTTTATTTTTTTTTTATTTTTTTTTTTTATTTTTTTTCAGTTGAAAGAAATTGCTCTGAAATTGCTCTTGATTATTTAAAAATTTTTTTTTTTTATTATACATTTCAAGTTCTTACTCTTTACATGAAATTCTTTTTATCTTTTGCAGATTTCCTTCATATCAGTTTCTTGGAATTGGTCAGGTAGGTTTCTGCTTTCTTTTGGCTTTGCTTCGTCTCTTTGTCTCCTGGAAATGCAAGGGAGGTTTAGCTCATGTAGAGTATTTCAAAATTAACTTTCTAATTAAACAAATTGTTTTATATATAAAGAACATATTGTTTGTTTATTTATTTATTTACCTCTTACCAATGCATATAAGGTTTATTTTTTAGACCCTGGTCAATGTGCTTGATGTATTTATCCCTTGGGCAATGTATAGAAATAGGTTCTACCAGGAAAAGTCTTGTGGATTGCCAATAACTAAACATCTGCTTAATACTGTTAAAATATATGATCTTGGATATGCTGCATCCCTTCAGGATATAAGCGATCATGGCTCTCCACAAGTTCCTATCTCTTGTGGCTTTTAGCAGTTTTTCTCCCTTTGATAAGGTTCCTGCTTCTTGTTCCACCATCCATTCACAAAAGCCTGTCAGGCAAGTGGCTCGCTTCCTTCCCCTATCACTTTTGCTTTCAATATGCCTTGTGAGGGTTAAGTTTTCTAATCCCTCCTTCCTTATTATGTGTCCAAGGAATTTCAGCTGTCTTTTCCTGATTCTAAGTGTTCTTTCTGTTGCCATTCTCTTTAAGATTTCCTTGTTGCTTGCTTGCTCCGACAATGGAATTTTCAGTATCCTTCTGTAAAACCACATTTCTGCATCTAGTTTTTTCCTCACTTGTGAGGAGATTGCCCAGTATTCACTGCCATGTAAGAGGATGGATATAACATGGCATTCTTTTCTTTGTAATGAAATTTTTCCATATATTTGATAAGGTACTGAAAAGTTCTTAGCTCTTTCAAAAAGTCCTAAAAATATGAGGTTTGGTCATTTAGTCAGATTTTGGGAAGTGGGTCAGGCACAGAAAGGTCTTACAGTCACATTACATTGAAAAATTTGTTCTCGTACAATCACCAAAGTTAAGCAGTGTCGAGCCTGATCAATACCTAGATGGGTGATTACTTTGAAATACCAGTTGCTCTGAGCTTGTATGTGCTGGTAAGTGTAATGGATAATGGCTCAGAATTGGAAATTGTAGAGCTGAGTTCCAATTCCAGTCAGGTTCATTATATTCACATTACATGCAAATAACCTTGGGAAAGTTATGAATCCAACTCTTCTCCTCCCATCTATGGGTTAATTAGTAGGAATTGTATCAGTAAATCATTATTATATCCAAAAATTAGTATCAAAATATATTTTATGGCTTCAAATAATCTGCAAAGGGTTGATAAGCCACAAAGAAAGCAAATCAGTCAGACCTTATACATGTTGGCTATGGCAAACGAAATATCAAGACCAATTAGATATTCCTTTAATGACAGCTGTCTCGATGAAAATCTCTACTTTTATAGCTGTCACCTACTTCCCTATACAAAATCCATTATGTTTCCTATAAAATATACTGTAAGTCAGCATGTGATAAGATAATAGAGAGACAAAAGCAAAGGGAAATATTAAATACATATGTTAATGCTTTATCTGCCTGGCGCCTCATGGCATATAAGGACATTTGGTGAGGTTTCTTTAATTGTTCCACAAGATAGGGTAATTGGTCTTCATTGTTTTTCTGGTTTTTCCTCCCCTTAGATGTTTTTTCAGGTTAACAAGTTCCATCAACCCTGGGTTTGGGAATTCAGAGTTTTTCTTCCTCTGAAGAGTCCTGTCTACCCTACTATATGGTTCATAGCTGTAGAAAGGAGAGATAGATTCATAACTTTCCTAAAGGTATTTGCACAGAAGTGAATATAAGGAGATCACATGGAATATGAATCCAGCTTGCAAAATTCTCATTTTGAGCTACTATTCATTACATCACATGCACATCCATTAACACTTTACGCCATGAGAAATAATGTAAGTTCTTTATTGCCAACATGTTATGCTGTAGATTCATCAAGTCTAAACTTGAATTAAATCTATTTACATTGGTCGGACTGTTATCAACTTTATTGTCATATTCACATTTTGGCTGTTGTGCACTCCAGCATTCTTCAGGTGATCATCATTTTTCTTCCATATATAACATGAGGGGAAAAAGAAAAATCAGGCATGGCTATGTATGGAGGGAAAAGGGAGATCACTGCCCTCTGTGGGATGAGGTTGAAATAATAGACAGAAAACATCACTGGAAAATATGTAAACTTAAGGAATCAGCACATATGCTAGGTCTCAAAAATCTCCTAAGCCAGCCAAGTATAGACATGAACACAATATGGGAACAGTGATACATTGTGCTAGAGAAAAAAAATTGTAATATGAGCTCTGGTAAAAAAAATTAAACTGAGACATTAAATTTATAAGTTTCCAATATTCATTCATTGATATCCCCAATGACACCTGGCCCAGTGGATAAAAGCATTGGTTGAAATAATCGATTGACTTGACCCAAATAACTGAAACTGAGATATCCAGAAAAGACATGGCATGTGGAAGTAGAACAATCTACCCCAGTGGACTAAATAAAGGGTTTTGTTTGAAATTTCAATGTATATCACCTGAAGAAGGCCAGAACGTACAATGACCAAAATGGTCCAAGCAATGTAAATAGTGTAAATCATTACAATAGTGTAAATCATTACAATTCCTCATCTCAGAAATATAGACAGATGTTGAATTAAATCTGTATATGAGGTCATTAGTAAGAGACAACAGCAAAGCTAGAAGATTGGATGTAGTTATTTAAGTTTAGCTTTATTTTACAATGGCTATGAAACTGTCAGGAAGGAGTGAATTATTAATTATCTATCTCTCTCTCTCTCTCTATATATATATATATATATATATATATATATATATATATATATATATATATATATATATATATATGTATATATATAATCAGCTGAATGCTCATTAACCACCAGTCAGGTCTCCAAGAATATTCTTTGTACCTTCAATAGAAAAGTTAACAAATGACTAGTCAGACAAAGTTATTCACAGCAACATGTGTAACACGGGCAGTTCCAGGTTTCATGTGTGAAGTTGCTCTTTGTTGTATTGTTGGTCGTAATTGCCTTGTAGCTATCCAACAAAAGGGACGATTATATTATTTAGCACAGGTGATTGTATGCTCTACATACAGAGTTCCTCTTCTCTGACATTGCTAATAGTAAATCTTTTTTAGCTATCAAATAACCATTTTCTTCTAGCAGCTATGAGTAAAATGCAGTGCAGACTAGGTCAGCAACCAGTCTAAAATGCAAAAAATTCTGATTACAAACAAGTTGTGGAACTCCAGTATAAACAATCAACTATATATATATATATATATATATATATATATATATATATATATATATATAAAGTGGAAAAACAAAAAACTAAATGAAATTGGCTTGACTATGTACTCAAAACACATTGAAAACAAAAAAAAAATTTAATTTTAAATTTCAGCATCCCCCTCTTCATGCTCATGTGTATTCACATCACCATAAACGTTACTTTAGTTCAATGAAGTTCTAAAGGATATACTGCATCACAAATACTTTTTCCACTTTCATAGATCTTCCCTAATGCTGAAACCTGATTAGTCAACTGAACAATTATAAAAAGGTTCATCTATGAAAGTCTGGAGTCGAGATGCTGAATATAACCTTATTCAGCTCAGTGACAATTTCATTTCTATTAATATATTTGATACTTGACAGGTGGCCCCCATCTTTTGCTTTTTTTTTTTTTTTCTCAGAGGAAAGGTTTATTTCCCAGTTTAGCTTAGTAGGATCTAAACAGAGGTAGGAAGATTGTATTGAAAAAACCCAAAAAAACTTCCAAATTGGGTGGGTTTGTCTGTTTTGAAAATCAGCATTCCATGCTTTTACTTGAGCTCAATAGTCTTAGTTATGATGACAAATTACATCTGGCAGCAAGGCCTCTGATTGGAGGATTAGAGGTTTTGAGGAGTGAAACCACCTTTTAATTTCTGTTGTTCTGTTAGTACCTGTTAGGGTCCCAGTTATAGACGAATAGTGAACCTCCAAACAAAAGCGGAATACTATGAAAGGATAGAAATAAATTTTCATAGTAAAATGACCAACAATACCTATTTATAGCAAAATGACCACCAATAAATCTTATCTGTAGTTGAAGCCATGCAATAGCATTCAAAATATTTAGATTTAGCATTAAATAGTTTTTAGAGGTTGATATGCCACTAAACAAAATCGACCAAACAACCAACATGAAAGAACTCTTTCATGACATTAATCCATATAATATCCTACAATTTCATAAAGAAATCAAACTATATTCCAAAATACTATATAAAATACATATCACACATACAAAACATAAAACACATATCATTGCCTCTTGTAATTATGTCCATATAAACATGTATATGCACAAAAGCTGAGTATCATCTACCATGTATTCAATTGTGAAAGCAGAATAATGGTCCAGACTAAAGTTGAAAAAGAAACAAATTGGATCTTGTGAATTCTGGAAGATCACCAACCAAATCATGACCAAAAGTAAAACGGCTGTGCTCACAATTATGAATGGACCCAAGATCATATCTTTCTTGACTGATAACACAAACCTCTTCACCACCATCTTTGTCTCTAACTCAACATTAGATGACAGACTATTCCCTCCTAGTTCCCACATCTCACTGAGCACAATCTTGGTAATATTACTGTCACAGCATGTTGAGGTCTCCCGACATATCAAAGGCCTTGACCCTAAGAAAGCCACTGGTCCAGACAAAATTCCAATAGTTGTCCTTAAGAAGATCAACCCAGAATTATCCCCAGTCCTAGTAAAGATATTCAACCACTGCTTGAAGGAGAAATCCTTCCCAAACTCATGAAAAGTGTCAAGCATGTACCTGGTTTTCAAGAATGTGAGCATGCAATCTTCTCCCTCCCAGTATAGATCCATCAATCTCCTCAATATCATCATCAAGCTGTTTGAGGCCATAATCAATAAAGTTGTTGAGCACCTAGAAGAGAACACACTCTTCAGCAACGAGCAGTATAGGTTTC